TAATTACTGGCTTATAATTGCTTAAATTTCTCCTAATGAGTAAAGGGATTGCCTGGGGTGGATTTGATCCTCTAGGGAGGGTCAGGTGGGTTCCCCCCAATGTTGAACTGGAGGATTATAGGGGGAGAAATGCCAAATGTTTTATATTTCCCTGGCAATTGGTATTCAATAACTATACAGGTCAGATGATTGGAAAAATAACCTATAGAAATTAAATTAATATGTTAATCAATTTTCCTGCTGAGCCTTGGCAAAAAGGTGCTTATATTTCCTATGATAATCTAAGAAGTATATGGATAGAGAATTAGACTAATTTTGAGTCTCAGCACTTCTACTTGTTAGCCATGATTTGGGCAAGTTACTGAACATCTCTGAGCCTGAATTTGTTATAAAATAGCAATAAAAATACTGACGTGGAAGGACTGAATTACTACTACTGTCAATAAGAATAGCCACAATTGATGGCTTGTGCTAGTAATCTTAGCACTGTGGGAGGCCCACCTGGATAGATTACTTGAGCTCAGGAGTTCAAGAGCAGCCTGAGCAAGAGCGAGACCCCCATCTCTACTAAAAAAATAGAGAAAAACTAGCCGAGTGGCAGTGGGCTCCTGAAGTCCCAGCTACTCAGGAGGCTGAGGCAAGAGGATTGCTCCAGCGCAAGAGTTTGAAGTTGCTTTGAGCTACAAAGCCACAGCACTCTACCGGTAACAGAGTGAAAGAGTGAGACACTCTCTCTCTCTCTCTCTCTGTCACACACAAACACACACACGAATAGCCACAATTTATTAAGTATGTGGTTCGAGTCAGGCACTATGCAAAGCAGTTTACCTGTTATCTCATTTATGAGTTATCTCATTTACCTGTTTTAAGAAATAAATGAGGCATCATAGTCAAGACACCTGGCCCAGGACATGGCCCACTCATACACCTGCAGATCCCCTTGCATGCTGCTATATAGTGGGATATGCCCCATGTCAGTGGGTAATTAAGTAAGATCTGCATCCCAGAAGGTAGAGGAGTGGTCCGGTGGCCTGATAGGAGATAGGTGGATCAGACTGAAGGAAGAAACCAGAGGACTTGTCAGCGATGTGCTCTAGGTCTTTTTTTTTTTTTTTTTTTTTGAGAAGCCCATCACCCCTCGTTATATAGTAGAATTAATCTCAGGTGACCCAGTATGTTTCCCTAACACAGTGAAGTCTTTCCGTATGTCAGCTTAATCATGCTACAAGTACCACGCGTCTGATGTAATGGTAAGTGAGTAGCTGGTCTCTGTCCCTAGGTTTCTCTGGGAATGCTGATCTGGTCTAGTATCTCCCCAGAGGTCTCAGGGCTCAAGCCATGGGGCTAGCCCACTTTCTTGCTTTGGGTTTCCCCAGACTCAGACCTAGAGGCCAGGATTTGGCTGCAACGGCTATTTGGAGCTGACCCCAGGAAACGTGGTGAGGGCGTGAAGAAGCCAGACGTGGAAGGAGGGAAGGCCAGTGGAAGTGTATGCATAAGAGACTTTCCACGGGGGGCACCTGGACTCCCTCGTTCTGGGGACCCTCTACGAAGCTGTGCAGGGAAGGGAGCTGGGGTATTTCCCCTCCCACTCTCCCATCTTCTTGCTGGAAGATGCACCCGAAAGGCATTAACTGCCTAGCTCCCTGCCCACAGGCAGAGCAGTGATGCATGCCGGAGGCAGGACACTGAACAGAACAGTACAGAGAGCTACAGATGACTTCATGGGTGGGTAGGGACTCTGGCAGGACTCCAGCAGCATCTGCTAACCCACCTTCCTATATCGAAGACATTAAACGTTCATTTCCTGCGTGAAAGTCTTCAAAATAAATTGCCATCTTACTGCAAAACAGGACGTTTCCTCATTGTTATTGTTTCATCTCCCCTGAGTAGGGAGTTTTACCGTAAACATTTGTTCAAATGGCCTCTCTGAACATTAATTTGCAAATGAACGGAAAATAAAAATGTTCTTTTGAATAATCCCTATTAAATAAGCTTTGAGACATGAGCAGACCTCTAGAGTATGTGGAAGCTTAAAGTAAGTCATAATGGTGCGTTCAGGAACAGACACTTTCAGCCACAGGCGAAGGCACTGGTTAGCGCCCCTGCAGAGCTTGGAACTCTGACCTGAGAGATCTGGTTAGACGTTGGTGTGGACGGAAGGAAGAGCACTGCTTCTGTATCAGCTCACGTTCCTTCTGTCCACATTAACCCTGCCTTTCAGCTTGCGTGAGCAACATTTATTGGTTCTGCTAAAAGAGAAAACATTTGGACGTAAATTCTTTACTTGGTAATTACTTTCTGAGCACACTGCAAGGCCCTGCCTGGGATTCAAATGTGAGTAAGGCCTAGCACCGTGGACTAGGAAGATAGTGACGAGTCTGTAGCGGGAAAATGGTCTTCTTGGCACCTTCTGATTCTTCAGTGACCACGCCATCTCCCCAACCCCCATTCAGATTTCTAAGTAGATTTGTCCGAAAAAATACTCTGAACCTGCTGAGAGTAAAGTTTGAACTTGCAAGTGATTGTTCTGTCAGGTGAGGCTTTCCAGCCCTGATTTTAAGATGGCGTCCTGTCCTTTGTAACTCTGTGCCCATGAAGCTGAGTGGAGCAAGTGTGAAGGAGGAGGAGATGTGGAGAGGACTGCTCCCACGCTTAGTTCTGGTGGGAAAGTGTGGGTTTCTGGAAACATACTTGGGTGCTTGAGCTAGTCATCCCAGCCAGGCGCCCACTGATGAGGTCCTCGCCTTACACAGGATGTCCAGCCACAAACACACTGAGAAGTGCGGTAGGCAGCCCTCCCATGACTAAATTTGGTTTTATGTGATATATGTATATAAAAACAGGTAAGGGCCGGGTGCAGTGGGTCATGCTTATAATTCTAGCACTCTGGGAGGCTATGGTGGGTGGACTGCCTGAGCTCAGAAGTTCAAGACCAGCCTGAGCAAGAGTGAGATCCTGTCTCTAAAAATGTAACCAAGCATCATGGTGGGTACCTGTAGTCCCAGCTACTTGGGAGCCAGAGGCAAGAGAGTCACTTGAGCCCAACAGTTTGAGGTTGTTGTGTGCTATTATGCCACAGCACTCGATGGAGGGTGACAAAGTGAGACTCTGTCTCAAAACAAACAAACAAACCAAAACAGGTAAAAGTTTAAATCTCCTTTTCTCTCTAGTCTTTCTTACAAGAGCTGTTCAGTGGCAAAAAGACAGGCTCATGTGCATGTCACAGCCTGTTTGTGTAGTTTGGTGACACACTACATGTATCGGGGATGAGAAGGGATGAAGGAGAAGACAGGTTAATCCGTAAGCTCTACAAGAGTAACTGAGAGTTCCCTAACTCTTTCACACTATCCTTCGCAAACAACCACAGATATATGAGCTACTTAGATAGTGGCCGCAGGAATAACTTACGGTCCATCTCTCAGGTTTCAAAACAGAATTTAACATTGGAAAATATAAATGAGGCAAAAGAAGGGTTTGTGAAGGGTTCAGATGATAGGAAAAAATGAAGTCGGCTAGTGGGGGTCTTAAGGGAACCTGCTATTGTGAATCTGTGAGAGTGTATGATTCATCATAATCGATCTTACGTTTTTACTAGAATTTAAGAATTCCTCAGAAGCACCTAATTCATTGTATATTGATATTTCAGTTCTGGGAATATTTGTTTCTGAGTGAATTTGTTTGCAATTGCCTTTCAGGAAAATTTATTAGCAGGCTGTTCTCAAGTTCTCCCCTGATCTTTTATTCTTTTCTGAAATATTATTGATTTTATTTTCCTGAACATAATTTTATATGGTAATATCTGTGCAGAAGCAATTTGCTATGGTTCAAGGAACCGGATTCTTATGGGCATTTGTCTTAGTAATGTGATTACAGAGTCACTAACTTGATCTTAATAACATTTGCCTATTATTCTATATTAGATGCATGAAAGAGAAACTGTACTTTCTAACTCAGAGGATTACCCTTGTGTCTCTCTCTTGGTTTAAATGCCTTGCAAAATTAATGTGCAGGTGATTTTTGAGTGGCTATTTGCATTATTTGAAACAAGTTAGGATTAAATCCAAACATTATCACCAATGTTGCATGCAGAGAGGAAATTACCTTTGTAGTATTCCTTAAGAAATTTTTAAATCATCAATTCACAACATTTCATAAACTAATCACACTGTAGTTCTCAGGATGATGTTTTTACGCTGTTGTGGCTGCAGGAGGCAGCATGATACAAAAATCTTAGAATCCGTAGTCAGATTAGCTTAGAATCTGGCCACACTACATAACTTACGTGAATGGGGCTGTGTGACTCCACCACTCTGACCCTCAGTTTCCTCATTTCTTTGAGACAGAGAGACGTTCTAAGCGTATCTATTCCAGTTTCCCATTTAAATATTATAACTACACTCTCTCGCTGAAAAAGACTGAGTTCATCTTCAATAGATTTCTTCCATTTTCTTAATGGAGATAGTAGTTAGTTATAGAAAAAGATCAGATGATCGTTAGCAACTTCATTCATAATATCCCCAAACTAGAAACAACCCAGTGTCTACCGATAGGATTATGAGTAAACAAATTATGGCATTCCCATGCAATGAAAAACTATTTCTCGCTATGAAGAAGAAACTACTGACCCATGCTACGAGATGGAGGACTCTTACATTTGTGGGGCAAACTAAGCCAGACACAAATAAGAGCGTATCGTCTAACTCCTCCTTCATGAAAGTCCAAGACAGGCAGAACTCCTTTCTGATAACAAAAATCAGAACAGTGATTACCTTTGGAAAAAGAGTCTTGCCTGGATGGGGGCCCAAGAGAACTTTCGAGGGTGAAATGTTCTGTCTTGATTTGGTGGTAATTATACCAGTGCGTCTATTTCTCAAAACTAGCTGTACTATGAAATTGGATGTTCTATTTTGTACAAATTACATTTTAATTAGAGGAAAGAATACTCACCTATCCATTAGATATTTAATTTCCTAATGACCTGTTTTGGGGATTTGCAGGATGCAGTGACCATCTGTACCCTGGGAATTGGGACGGCTTTTGGAGAGTCCATTCTGGACAACACCCCCCGCCATGCGACGATCGTTACCAGGGAGAGCAGCGAGCTGCTGCGCATTGAGCAGAAGGACTTCAAGGCACTCTGGGAGGTGAGCCCCAAGGCTTCTCTGTCAATTAATGCAGCTTCGGGAAGAAAGGGAGCTGCCACATGGATAATGGCATTACAGTCAAGCCGTAATGCGTTCTGCTCTGAGCTAGTGGATGGAATTTAATTTTCAAAACTTGTTTTTGAAATGAGTGAGTAAAAAAGCCATTTTGACACAAGACATCCCTTTTTTTTTTAATTTAGTGCATGCTCAATTTTCTGTAGTTTGACATACCTTATAATTATTTCTTGAATGACCATAGAGCATTTTATGAATTTTCTCCCTCCTATTCAACAGATGTATTCTTAACCAGGGAACAAAATACTTTGACATTTTCTTTTGCATTTTAAAAATCATCATTGACATGTTCCCCGGGAAAGTGGAATGAATGAGGTTAACATCTGCTTCATTTAAATGCTTTTAAAAATGATGGGCCCTAAAATAAGGTATGGCAAATGGAGGTACATAAAGATGTCTGGTTACTTGCCAACTTCAAAATGCATAGGTGGCACGGCCATGGATAGACACCATCGATCCTGGTGGCTTTTGCGTTTACAGATGCTTACCAGCATCCCCTAGGGGACTGCGCTCATTTACAAGAAGTGTGAGAAATACATCGTCTTCTAGGCAGCGATGGCAAGGAGGGCACCTTAGGAAGGCCCAGCTAAGCCTTGCATCTTTCTCACTTGTGCCTTTTCGGTTCTTTAAGCTTCTGATTTCAACCCGTGGTCACTCCTTGTCTTTGTCCTTGGCTCAGTATGTCCAAGTGCTAACCCAGAGAGCTGGCAGGCTTCGCCACTGGTCCCAGTGTGGCTAAGATTTCAAACTTGATCTAAAAAGAATTTTGTGTAATCAAATAGTTTCCTCCAGAGCCAAACAAATGACAGATGTGTTAGGAAGCCAACCGGCAGGTGCATGAGTGGTGCCTTGCCTTAAAAGTCATGCACAGCCTCGGAAGGCCTTGGTGGTAAAACCTGTGACTTTTATTCTTGGCAGTACTGAATAAATTGTGGGGTTACTTGTTTGAAATATTTCGCTTAGAAAATATTAAAGAGCTCCAACTGCTCTGTAAAGTTCAGAGACAAAAGCTAGTTTTAGGAAGGAAAAATCGAAAGCAGGTTTGCATGAGGTGTGTGTGGAGAGGTTTTCTGTCAATTAAAAGGGGACCGAGCTTGAGGCAAACAAGCCGGTTTTTGGATCTTTCATAAAAGGTAAACGGAGAAGGCCTTTTCAAAAAGGGAATTTGGAAGACTGGTTTTAAGAACAAAAATGATTACCCGTGATGTGTTATCATTATAGCCGCTTCTGTCTGTGTGGTTTACTCAAATTGCTGAGAGATGGTTTGGGGAGATATTGAAAACATTTATTTTAATTAGAAGCCCTCGGGGCTGTGTGCAGGAAGTTCCTACGAAGTTGCTATCTATGAACATTAAAACACATGTATTATTTAAAAAAAATTTGAAACAGAAAATCAAATATAATATCATGAACATCCTCTCACTCCCACTTAGGTCAGCAATTTCTAACCGTTTAGAAATTTGCTTCATCTTTGGTTTTTGCTGAACCCTTTGATGTAAATGATATATCTTATGACATTTCCACCTGAATATTCAGCATATATCCCAAAAAATTTAGAACATCCTTTAAAATACCCATATCTCACCCATAATACCAATGATAATTATCCTAATATCATCTGATGTCCAGTCTATATTTCAAATATCCTGAATTGTTTTATAAATACCTTTTATAACCTTTTTTCAGGCTCTCATTAGAGGCTCCAATAAAGAGCTGTATATTACATTTGATTTTTATATCTAATTCAGGCTCTCTCTCTCTCTCTCCCCCCCTTCTCTCCCCCATACTTCCCCTTTCCCCATACAATGCCCCAGGGCATTGACTTGTTAAATAGTTGGGTCAGTTTATCTCAAATTCAAGATTTATCTGATTCTTTTCTCATAGTCTCTTTTTTTGAACCCCTACCCCAGAGTTTCCTGTAAATGAAAGCCAGTCTAAAGCCTTGACTAGATCAAGCAAAGCGTTTTTGGCAAGAAAATGTCAAAGTTGAGACTGAGTGTATCAGGAGCCTCATAATCTGTGGTTGCTTGACTGTGGATTAGATTTAGAATGGTCCAGTTTTTTAGGATTAGCAGATGCTGCAGACGCACCAGCGCGCCCCTCAGTTACCTTCTGATGACCAGATCACTAGTAATAGTGATGGGGCTTATTGCCTTGTCATGACTGATCCCTGGTTACGTTATCTGAGTACACATTAGAAATGTTTTCCGCAGATATTTCCCTTAGTGGAAAATCATTAAATAGGGACATCGATATTGAGGACTATCCCAAACCGTGTCATATGTTTGGCAGCTCCGTGGGGCCACCACTCACCTGTAACCCCAGAGCATGATTTCTGATGTCCCAAAAATGGGACTTAAGCAGAGTGGGGTCGGGACTCAGAGAGCCATTCCAGACCTCGAGAGGCCCGGAAGGGTTTGGGTCTGACTTCTGTCACAGAGTGTGCAAATAAAATAAAATCAGATCACCATGAAAGATATTCCGTAAGTGTTGAAGACATGAGCAGGAAGAGATTAGTCAGCTATTTCTCACCGCGAATAAGGAGTTCGTCAGATAGTTCATTTTCTTTGCCTGTTCATGCAGTTAAATGTTGGATGTGAATTAGGTGCTCAACCAGTGATTTAATTGTCTAAACTGAAAATGCCGTAAACCCCATTACCTAGTGATCTGTTAATCAGAATTGAACTGATGGGCACGCTTGTCTCTATGCAGTATGCGCTAATCCTAAAAAACCATACAATTCTTCAGTACCTTCTGAATAAAAAAGACTGAATTCTGTTTATTTTACTGCTTATTTATTCAACACACACTATCTCCCACGTTGATCTAATCAGGTGTGTGTGTATGCTGTAGGTGTATGTATATAGATATGTGTGTGTATACATATACATATTTATTTATGTTCCTGCTCTCAGGATGGGGGCTTCTACTTGAAGGAAAAATAAAATAAGATAAAGCATATAATTGCAAAGTATATCATTATAATTAAACGAATTTCATTTTTATACGTTGAATATTAGTGATTCACTCATGATATACATGGCACTAATCTGCTAGCAGACTATTTGATAGCCAGAACACCCATTCCTTAATTATGTCAGATAATAGCCATCCATTGTACTGGTAGATGATATCTGTTAGCAAAACCAAAATCTAAGCTCGTACTGGCAGTTGAAATCCAAGTTAGACTTATCAGCCAACTATCCAAAGAGAAGAACTATGTAGGGAAGAATACTGTAGCTTCAGGATTCGGGCAGACTCCCAAATCATCACTGACCTGAGAGATGGCAAAAAGGAGGCAGCAAAAAAGGTCAACTGGAGAAGGTCTCTATTGTCAGTCGGTAAGGGCTTGGAGTTGGCGTTAGGTGATAGGTTCCAGAGAGTGAAAATCAGAGAACCTGAATCACTGGTCTGAGCTGGCATCATACTCCTCTCATTGGACTCTTTACTCTGGAGGGATGGCATGGGGCCCATCTATGGCAGGCACTCTGATGTTTAGCTTTCTCTCCTTGTACGTGGTCTTGGTGTCCCTTAGGGGCTGA